CACAAGGGTAGGATTGTGCCAAATTCGGGAGAGCTTGTTGCAAAAGTCTATGAGTCTTCAACATCGAACGTGCGGAGTCACTGATGACGAACTTCACCTAAGCACAAGACAATCAGGTCCATGTGATAACCTATCAGACTAATGAGAACTAATAGCTTGAACTAATAATTAAGGAGGAGTTACTACCCCAACCCCCACCTTGCTAGCAAGCTGGAGCTTGCCGAGAGCGTTCAGAAGCATCTGGCTTATGTTCTCTGACGTGTGTGACATGGTGATACGCTCCAGCCCCACGGCCACTGCCTCGGGATCCGTAGGTCGACAATCTTGCACTGGAGAAGAATGAGCGAGAATGGAAACAACACTCTCTTTCCGAGGCCTGGTCCAAATATCTGTGGTAATGGCAATACAGTTTCTGTCAGCAAGCTTCTCAGGAATTCCTTCAATAGTCTCCGCCAGTCTCCTGTCGATAATTCTGAAGGTGTGAAAAAGAGTTAATCTATATCGAAGGTGGTCATATTTTACCTCCCAATTGTTCGCCTTGAAGGCGGGACATATCTGCTTGATGGATCATTCCCTTTGGTGAGATGTGCCAGCAATTTTAAGAACCCCCTTTTCTCTACGATGCTCAAAGGTACGCCATCCACTACTACCTGAGAACAATTGATGCCGCGTAACCTTCTTCAGCTCTCACACCTATAGCGTATACCCCGCCTTACCATTTCGGCAATCAAATTAGTAGTTATTTTATTGTCAGCGTGCTGAAACATTGCCTTCAGCTTCCTGCTTGGTCCTTTACCACTCCGGCCGTCGGGCTCCAATGTTCGCTTCAAAGCAGCGCGTAGCTCAGGGTCCTCATTGATAGAGAGCTCCTTCTCAATTTTTCTCTTGTAGCATGGATGGGTTTGCAGCGTCTTATAGCCCTTGTTGGTTCTTAGCCGCTCATCGCACTCTTTACACTTAACAAAATCCTTATCCAAACGCTCAAACAAGGATGCATATTTCACAGAAAAGGCGTCTTGCTTCTTCTTGGAGGGTGGTTGTAGAGGCTCCCCGGATAACTTTGTACCTACAGTATAGTCAAGGTTAAATGATCATTGTGTTATACCGGGAATAAGGGCTCATAATATGAGCCTCATACGGTGTGAATCCTACCTCTGCGTTCCACGCCGGGCCCGCCGATTCCGGGCGGTATTGGAAATTCTCCAGGACTTCCTAATATCGTATCAGCCTCAGCTAATGTGACAGGGAGGAGTTCTGTGCTCGCCGAGGGTTCTGGAGAGCTGCTTGATGATGCGACAGGGTTGTCAATTATTCTTGGAAAAAGCATAGGTGGAGTATCTCCGGCGGGAAGGCTTCCGGACATGATCCAATATAACCAATATAAGGACTGCATAGATCAAACGATACTGCGAATTGTGATAAATTTTGGCAATTTCGAAATTAACACGCAACCCCGCGCTACGTAAAATTAAGGGCGAGCGCTATCAGGGCTTGGA